GCTGTCACTGCAGAAATCTTTGAAACAAGCAGATGCAGAGCTGTCCAAGCTGAGAGCAGAACTCCGGAGTGAAGCTTTCCTCAGAGAACTGGGATCAGATTCTGAAAATGTTATCTTAAGGGTAGGAAGACTTCATTGCCTGCCTAATAACTGTGCCTAGTTTGTTTTGCTGTCACGTTCATTTGGGCCTGTTTTTTTCTGAGTTCACTCTGCTTTTTCTAACAGAACAGATGTTAAATTTGGATTTTAAGTTTTCATCCTTGCATACATAACTCTGTCAGTTGTTATCCCCAAGAATGACCAGTGAGCACTGCATTGTCCTTTTATGTGTACTCCATTTCTTGCTGCTCAGGTGGTCCTCAGATTATGACACTGCATTCACCAGGTGTGAGCAGTAGCACAGGCTTCTCCATAACAGCAAGCAGTAAATAATCACAGCAATGCTAGAGGAGTTGTCATATCAAAAGTTGTGATTGTAATCATTCCTGGAGCTTATGCTGCTGCTTCTCTTTTCCATCTTGTAGAGAATTTATGGCAAATACCTCCGAGCTGAGAGCTTCCGGAAAGCTCTCATTTATCAGAAGAAATACTTGCTGCTGTTACTGGGTGGATTCCAGGAGTGCGAAGAAGCCACGCTGGCCCTCATTGCACGGATGGGTGGGCAGCCCTCTTACACAGACCTTGAGATCATCACACATCATTCAAAGGGTTTCACAAGATTTCGCTCTGCAGTCAGAGTGTCCATTGCAATTTCAAGGTAAGCTGGAGGAAGTTTGGTTTCAGACAGATGCATGCACTGAATCTGTAGTGAATCACATTCATTTACGTACCTCTTGTAAGTGGGGCTTTTTCTCATAACACTCTGCTGTTACAATGTGGGGAATGTAGCAGGGCAAAAAGTATGTTTATTGCCGGTTGAACATGCCGATGCCCTGCTGTGCATGGCATGAGCCATTTGCTGTCCGTTCTGCCTTATGCAGCACCTCTGGAATCACTGCAGTAGCAAAGAATAAACTGAAAGCATCCAGGCTGGATGTGGCTCTGGGCAGCCTGGTCTGGTGGTTGGTGACCCTGCACTTAGCAGGAGGGTTGAAACTAGATGATCATTGTGGTCCTTTTCAACCCAGGCCATTCTATGACTTGACAGCAGAGAGTTTGCAGAGGCTCTAGGGATGTGTGTAAGGAAGTTTTCTACTTAATTGTTACGCTTTCAGTGCACATCCATTAATTATATTTGGCTTTCAAGAAATTCTTACACCTTCTAGAATATAAAAAGCAGAGTATGTGCTTAAATGATTGCTTCCTTTAGCCTGAAGTTTAGGTTTGTGGTTATTTTGTTTTTCAATTCCAGAATGAAGTTCCTGGTTCGTCGATGGCAAAGAGTTACGGGTTCTGGTATCTTAAGCCTCAATAGGGATGTCTTTAGCCAGAACGCAGGTAAACTGTAGCCCAGTAACGACTGAAAAATGTTATTCTCAAGTCACACTGCTGCTTAGTGTAGGTGGCTTTGATTTGCATTGTCTTGTACAACAACAGGGCTGCTGTGTCCCCTTCTTTTTGTCATAGTTGATTGGATTTACTTGTTTCTCAGGTTTCTGGAAGTTTCAACATCTGACATGACCACTGATCTGTTTGCTGTCTCTTCAGTCTGTTTTTTTGCACTCTTGTGGGTGGGATTATAAACAAAATCCGACAACTTCCCAAACAGTGTGTGTTTGTAAGACCACAGCTACGTGCATCTGTGGGTTTCTCTTGAGGCCTGTGTTCTGAGAGGGAGCACCAAGGGCAGGGGCAGGCAGAGGAATCTGAGATGTGTGGAGTGGCTGTCCTGTGTGTTTACACTGCAGCGCCCTTTTCAAGCTCTAGGCCAGCAGCAAACTGTTGCTCTTGCTTTTTAATTAATTTCACTTGCTTTTAAATGGCAACAAAAAACCTGTTTCTTGCTAAACCCCATTTTTGCAAAATGGAGACAGAAAACTTGCACTTACAATTCCCAGTAATGTGCATAAGGTGTTACATCTTTCTTTGCTTTTTAGTTTTCAAGATACTGGATTTTCTACTTTTAGGTAATGAATTGCGGCCTGACTCATTCTCCAGTGGCATGGATCTCTATGGAGAACAAAGGCATTCATATAGATCCCGATCAGATATGGAGTCTCCCAGATCTCCTATAAACTTTCAACAAAAGTGAGTTCTGTTTCAGACGACGATTCGCTATCAGGACGCCGTTCAGCTGCACGAACATGTCAGCAGTCACTGATGAGGTTCATAATCTTTGATGCCAGAAGTCTTTTAACATTTGTTTTCCATAAGGAAACATAACCAAGTGCATCTCAGACCTTTGATGTGCACCTACTCATTGCCTGATTAAGGCCAATGCTTGCAGGCGTTTCTGTATGACTGCTGCTGTGTTCTTGGCAGAATTTGTGCACTGGGTGAAAGTGATCTGCACAGTTTTGGCTTTGAGAAGCCAACCTCAGCTGCCTGTGGGCTCTGAGATTTCCCACAGATTGGATTCGAGTCATTTGGGATCTCTGTTTTTATATGAACCACCTCAACATCTGTAACCTCAGTTTGTGGCAATCATAATGTTTTACATAAATAAGATATTTAATCTATTTTAGCCACTTCTGACTTACAGAAAGTACCAAAGAAAGCCAGAATCCCATACAGATGGCTGTCCTTGTTTGCACAAGCTTCTTAATAGAAAATCTACTACAGCTTCTGCTGCAGTCTCAGTAGGAATTTGCAGTCTTGTTCCCAGAGAAATGCAGAAACAGATCAGATGCAGTGGAATGAAAATGCAGTTGGGCAAGGAGGTTCTTCTGGGGGAGGCACTATGTTGTGATAGGACCAGGGAAAATATAAGAAATGAGTGTTTTACAGTAAGGGCAGTGAGGCACTGGAACAGGCTGCCCAGAGAGGTGGTAGGTGCCCCATCCCTGGAGACAAGTCAGGCTGGATGGGGCTCCGAGCACCTGGTGCAGCGGCAGGTTTCCCTGCTCACTGCAGTGGAGTTGGACCAGATGGCCTTTGAAGGTCCTTTCCTCCTCCAATGATTCTGTGATGGCTGGAGCAGTGAGTGGCAGGGAACTCCAGTGGGCGTGGTGTTCTGCCTGCTGTGTGGGCAAGGCAGCGGACACGCGCCCTGCCAGGCCTCTCTGCTTACAGTGCCCTGCTATGTCTGCTGATTCTTTTTGATCTGACGTTTTGTTTTGAAAAGCATCTGTGTTCTTCTGCCCCCAGGTTCCACAATATGCAGGCTGACTTGAACCCAGTCTCTTTCGCGTGTTCTCAGCTGCAGAACTATGATCCAGAAAGAGCTTTAACAGATTACATCCACCGCCTGGAGGCACTGCAAAGGCGGCTCGGAAGCGTGCAGTCAGGTATGGGTTGGGGCACAGTTCCAAGCTAGAAGGCACGTGCTGGCTCTGAGATGTGTACAGACGTCTGGTTTGGGGCACTTTCAGCCTTGAACAGCAGGTTATTCTGTACTGCAGCAAGCCCACTGAAAAGAACGTGCTGCAGTTCTTTGAAGGGAGGCCTGCCCAGGTGTGCTTCAGTAACAGATTTGGAGTTTATTGGTACCATGTTGATTTTCACCAGTCTCTTAAATGTGTGATAAGAATTCTGTGTGTCTCTTTATGAGGTTAAGTGAGGTGGGGAAAAGCATACTCTAAGGATTGGAGTGTTGGGGTGCAAGAGCAATTCTTTTCTATCACTAGGATTATAGAAGTGACAGCCTTTTTGTCCCGCAGATGATAATTTTTTTTGCTATAAAGGGAATCAAGAAAATCAGTGGGGCCTGATTTATCAAACAAAAGGGGGGGCTGAGTTACAGAAATTACTGTGGTAAAGTCTTATTTTAGCATAAAATCCGTCCTTTGAAGATTTGTTCTTAAACGATTTCCTGCATAAAACCTTTCCCACTCATTCATCACAGTGACGCCGTTGTGAACCCTCAGCTCCTTATTCCACGTGCTCTGATTCAAATCTCTCTGTCTTACAGTGTCCACCTCATACACACAGCTGCACTCAGCTATGAGAAGATAATACCCTCTGCCCGCTCCATCGCTGGCAGTGATGTCAATGGATTGATGCCTTCTGTAAACCCGTGCTCTTTCTGTGCTTTCTGTAACGTGTATCTGGTGGGACCAACACAAACACGGCTGTATGATCCTATACAGTTCCATCCTGGCACACCCATGCAGACTGGGGTTATGGGAGATTTATGTATATAAGCAATTCGTGGTCATGCAAAAAAAAAAAATCATTAAATTACATGTATATTTGTGGAATGCTAATTTAAATGATTAACTTATGAAGTGTGTATTTATCAAGGGGGTGCAAAGATGAAATTTGTGTATTAATTACATTGAGCTCCGTTCAGAGAAGTTCACTTGCACTTTTTCTGGCAAGGCTACTGAAGTTACACAACTCTCCTCATATTTGCTACTGGCAGTGCAGACAGAATAGCACTTGTAGAGACCTATTTTTGTAATGGTAGAAGTTTTGAATTTTATGGGTATTTTGTCAAAGTACTGAAATAAAGATGACTTCATGCTTTTAACTGTGTTCTACTCTTGGAAAGTTCTTAAAATTGAAGAATCGTTCCCTTATTTAGGTTGAAAACCTCACTCCTAGGCATGCTCCTCCTGGCTGTGGCAGCTGTCTTGTCACCAGTTGCAGAAGTGCTGCTACTTGACAGGAGGACAGGGGCAGGTTTGGTTTCTGCAGTTCCTGGCTGTACCTTTGGGGGCTGCAAGAGCTGTGTGTCCTCTCCCTCAGTCGCTGTCATTGATGTGAAAACGAAGGTCTGTGACAGTTCTACCGGGGTTAGAACCGACAGCCTGGGTGAGCCCTTCCCTCAGGGAGCGCTGTAGGGAAGGAGGGGAAGCTCTGTGCATGATTAGCTAACTGTGTACTTAGATGCATTTTCTTTCGGGTAGTTACGAATTTAAGAACTGACAGCGTTAAGCAGAGGAAACTTCCACAAGAGGTTTCTTTACAAATTTTAATCAAAATTCCTATGAGCTGGAGCTCAAGACCATCACCACCACTTGTGAACCAAACACTATTCAACAATCCTGCAGGAGTCAATGCAAAGCATAACAGCATTCAGATATCTCACTTCATTTATGGATTATTTTCCAGGTAAACGTGTTATTTACTAGCGCTGTCATCCTGTTGTTATTTCCATGCTTACACCAAGCTTTCAGAGATGGCTGCTTTTCACAGTTTACTTTAGAAAATTACTTGTAGCTTCCTGAAGCGAAGTATTTTACAAGTGCTCCAAGTTAAACATTTAAATTGTTGAGTTACAGAACTTCCCTATGAACACTTCTGCAGACACCTCTACTCAGCCACACAGTGACAGTCTGTAATAATAATTAATTCCAAATAATTCCAAAAAGCAACCAGAATGCCACTTTTCAATCTGTGATTCTGTTTCAAAACAGGGCATATGCACTGCCCTCAGTCCTTTGTACCTGATGGAGTTACTGTCGTTGGGCACAGAGGTAAGGTACAGTCATACCCCTCCTCATCTGGGGAAAGGCAACTGTCTAATGTTTTTTTTGTTGTTTTTTTTTTTTTCTATCAACTGGAATCTTTGCTTTAAAAAACATTTCTTCACTTAAAGGCCAGGGGGAGGGAGGCATGCACACCTTAGAAGTGTTACACACATAGAAGACAGTTTTTCTTTCAATAAAAGCACCAAGAAAGTGGTAGAACAAGCAGTTACACACAGCAACACTAAACAGTGTGGGGAAATGAACAAAACAGATGCAAAGAGGGTGCAGGCCTGTCTCTATACAGTACGTGGAACAGTTTCCATTTGCCATTCATTTTGTCACAATTATTTCACCAGAAGTCTGTTAGTTTGTACAATTCAAGGTTTTAGCTCCAGAACTTACAGTGCCCTCCTCTTATATCTGATAACTGGGTTATTAGGTGTATGTATCATGGTTGTATAATTTATACTTGGAAAGTAGTCATTGATGAGATCAAATTCGTACAAACGAAGCAAAGTGGACCAGATAGTCTTGATCTGAACGTAAGCGAAGTTCTCTCCAATACAGCGATGACGGCCTAGGAGGAAACCCAGAGCAAGCAATCAGAACACCTCGTTATGCCATCGCCTCTGACTGCAGCTTCACTTGGAAAACGTCACGTGGACTGGAACTGCTTCTTTCTAAACAGGCTGAGGCCCTGATCCTACAGACGGACCATTGTGTCACTTCTAACATCTTGTTTCCATAAAGCTTTCGCTGCAGAGAACGTGGAACATTTGAATAGGATTGTGTTGTCCTGTTTTCAGCAGAACGCGCCCATTTGTGCAGCGCCGAGGAGGAGTTTCTAACGTTCAAAAACTGGCATTGACTATAACTGTATCGTGGTCAGATTTGCAAACTGTTCTGGCAGTTATGGATCTCTACATAAATTTTCGCTGCCTTAAAATGTTTTCATATTATGAGGCTTTTTTACCATGACTTTGAAAGACATGAATAAAGTCAAATAAATGCTAACATAAGGATTTCTTGTTCTTATTCCTCTGAGCAACAGCCACAGGCGCTATGATTGACTTCAATTCTTTAACAGCCTGTTCATACTAAAAAAAACTGAGGCAGAAATAGAGAGAGAAGAAAAATCTCTGCATGTGTTGCAGCACAGGGAAGTGCAGGGTGAGAGGAGCAGCCCGAGTCGTGTGCCACCGCTGGGCAAAATGCTTGCTTGCTTTGTGCCGCTGCTACTTACCAGCGCCAAATGGAATGTAGGCAAACTTCTCCCCAGCTGCCGGGTTGTCCTGGAGATAGCGGTCAGGTTTGAAGTCCAGGGCGTCCTTCCAGGAGTCCTTCAGGCGTTGGTTGACGGTGGGGGACACGCAGACCTGATGGCCGGGGGGAATGCTGTATCCTGCGACCGTCTGCAAGGGCAGAGACAAGGCCCACACACCTGATTCCTCAGTTCTTACACTGGAAGCATTACCTGAAGTTCTGTATCCTTAGACTGGAATTTCAAAAGATGTTTTGGCTGGGCCAGTTTAAAATCAATGCAGCAGAGCACGTGTAAGTGGCAGATCTAAACTAAGAACTCAAGCAAGAATGACAGCTGGAAGAAAGGGTCAGTTCTGTTAGTATGGCTGGAAGGGGAACGTGGCACTTCACCTTCCCCAGGGGAGATGCGGACCTGGCACTTCCTATATACCCAAGTGGGCATTCAGCAGTTATTCTGCAACTTGAAAGTGTCCATAATTCACTTCTGCACATCTTCAGAGAGAACAACTATGCCTCTGATTATTTTCTGTGGGTTGTTATTTAGTTGTTTTAAATTAGTTTTCTAAACTCTAGCTCCCATCTTGTTTTATCCTTCAATAGGAAAATAAACCCAGAGCAGTACATTTCAGGATAAAGAAGCAGCCCACACCTACACCGAGTTCTTTCTAAAGTTGCACAATGTTCTCCTCTGGGGCTACTTATTGTCAGAACACACAACTGCTCCTTTTCACCCACATGAAAGATGGGGGCAATGAGGGTATCTACTAAAGGAAATGCTTTTGCTGCTTTTTCTACCTGAGCTGCGTGCTGGCCCATCACTCTCTCTTGCCCAGCAGCACCAGCATACACCTTGTGTCCAGTTCTGGGCTCCCCGGTTCAAGACAGACAGGAAACTACTGCAGAGAGTCTGGCAGAGGGCTGCACAGACAACAGGTCTGGAGCATCTCCCTTGTGAGGAAAGGCTGAGAGACCTGGGGCTGTTCAGCCTGGAGTAGACTGAGGGGGATCTTATCAGTCCTTGCAAATATCTGCACGGTGGGATTCTAGTGGGTAGGTCTGGGCCCTTTTTAGTGGTGCCCAGTGACAGAACAAGGAGCAACGGCCACAAACTGGAACATAGGAAGTTCCATACCAACACATGGAAAAACTCCACTTCAAACATGTAACACGCACTGGAACAGACTGCCCGGAGCGGTTGTGAGTCTCCTTCTGAGCAGGTATTCAAAACCCAGCTGGACGCTTTCCTGCGTAATCTACTATAGGAAGTTGCTTCATAAGGGGGTTGGACTGGATGATCTCCTTGCTGTGATAGACTACCTCACAATCACTTACATGCTGGTGACTTAAGAGCCACAAAGAAATCCCACTGACCAAAAAGCAACAAATGGAAGATAACCACAAGAACACCAGGGCACGAGATGAGACTCCTACGGGATTTAAGCTCTCACACAATGGCAGAGTGAATGCCCGCCTCCAACGGTGCACCATTTCTTGTGGTCACTGCTGACTTGCTGCCCTTGTCAGCAGAGCTGCAAGGGGCTGGAGCAGATCAGGTTGTGCGGGACTTTGCCCAGTCAGTCATAAAAGCCAGCAGGGAGATTCCACAGGTGAAGTTAGAACCAAAAAGTGCACTCACCTGTGGAGTTTTGGCCAGTCTCATCATGGTCATTATAGGAGGTCTCAGCCTTAAGGTTTCTTTTAGGCAGCGATCTAACAAGCTGAGATCCTTGAGCTGCAAATATAAAGAAAATTAATATCAAAATACAGCTGAGCTCATTCAATTATTATTTTACGCCATTCAGAAGTAAATAACTAAAGAATAAGCAGCTCTTATTTACATGGACTTCATTTGCTACCCTGACAATTTTCCCTTGGATTCAATTACAACTAGCTGCTGTTCCATCTGACTAACCTGTCCTACAAGTGCTTTCTGATGCGTAACTAAAGAAAGAGATCACGCCACATTCCATTCCTCCTTTATGCAGCTCACTTTTTAAATAGAGCTTGTAGGAACTTCAGTTTCCATAGTAAATGCTGATTAAAAAAGAAATGGTAGCAGGCTGAAAAGTAACTCCAGAGAAAGAGGAGACACACTGCCCAGTAGTGCCACTGCAGACTGCTTGTGAAGATTATGATTCTAACCCAAAACATATGGCCATACTGTCCATTGGTAAAAACACATATCCAGAGCACAGTAACATCCTTCAGAAATGATGCAGCATACAAACCTGTTCGTAAGTTAATGGTGGCAAATCATCTCCACAGACAGCTTTCTGCTCTGCGTAGCACTGCTCCTGTATCGCTTTGTCTCTGGCTATGAAGAAGCCCAGCCAGGCACTCGTGGTTGAGGATGTGTGCTGCCCTGCCAGCAGCAGCCCAATGAGCATCCCTGCTATCTCATCATCTGTCAGTGGGCGGCCATCCCTACATCAAAGGGGATTAAGTCAGAGCTTCATTCCAGGTATACAGCTTTCCAGGTACAGCAGTATTTACAATTTCTCCTAATTTACTTCTTTCTACTCCTCATTAATTGCCCACTCCAAATTCAGTAGCTAAAAGTCTAGGGGTAGGCAAAAAAGAGAACCATGGTGAGCAAAGTCCCTGGGAGCTTTGAAGAAAATCATTACAGAAAGCCAGTAACAAGAAAGAAAGTGGAAGCAGCAGCCTTATGACCACTGATAATGATCTCAGAAGTCAAGGTTAGCATTTATAATTAGATTTTTCAGTCTGTTTTTAAGAACACCACTAGGATCAACTGCTGGCAATGAGGAATGCAGGACATGAGAATGTTTCTTGTTTTTGACAGAATGTTCTAAACAGCTCCGAGCTGAAGTAAAACATCTATTTATTTTCCTGTAAATTACGAGTCCCCAACCCCACTTTGCTTACTTGTATGAAGCATCAAGTAGAGTTTGGAGCATGTCATCCTCCTTCTCCTCAGAACTCCGACGCTTCTGGATAACCTTGTAGAAAATGTTCTTTATTTCTCTGTGCGCTCGGTCTCGACGCCTGCAATTCAGATCACTTCTGTTAGCAACTTCGTAAGAAACAACATGAAATCCTTGTAAGGATTTATAGGAATGTCTGAGACAGCTTCAAAACAAAAAATAGGGGAGAAAGAAAGAAAAGAAGAGGTTTAGATGAAATGCTCAAATTGCTACATCTTCTTCCCGGTACCTGAAGCTGGGCAGAGGTAGCCAGGCTGGCAGAAGCCACGCAGCATGAGTAAAGCCCCCATCCAGGTCAGCATACAGCTGAGCCACCTTCTCATTTAGTAAGCTTCTTATTTCTTTCCCATGCAAGCAGTGACTTGCTGTCAAAATGATAAGTTCTGAAAAGGCTTCAAACAGGTCTGAGAAAAGATGTGGAAAAAATGTTACTGCAGATAAACTTTAGGCAAAATGTTACATTTCACAGATCATCACTTCAAATCTTGTAGAAGGGAAAAGCAAACAACCACCATACATACATTAACAATTTAAAACTGAGTTTTAGCTTGCTTTCCCCATAAAAGGAAGTATTTCATTTTGAATTTCGTGGTTTTAATCAGGTCTTTCAATGAGTAACATTTTAATTACATTACTTGACTTCAATAACTTGTTTTCTAAGTTACTGTTTCTAGAGCTTTTTCTAGGAAACCTGCTACCCCTTCCAAAGTAAACCATGCAGCACAAGCTCAACCCTTAACGAACACAGAAGTCATAGAAAAAGTTAAATCTGAAATCCAAAATCCACGTGTAAATAAGTAGTTTTGCAGCTTATTGAATTATTTCTCAGTATTTCTATCATTGCAGGCTTGCAACAGTACTGATGGGCTGTGACTAGTTGGGAAACAGGGGTGGGGAGGAAAGGAAATGCACTTACATCACTAAGCTCACCTTATCGCTCTGCAGATAACAACTGAGATCTCTGACACAGGCTCCAGGAAGTCAGAGCTGTGTCTTTTCAAAGGAACTACCAAACAGGCTGAACTGATTCACAGCGTGTAAAATCAGCGTGATTCAGCCAGGCAACGCGTATGCTCTCTACTGTCAGACTAAGCAAAGAAGCAGAATTGTCCTCTGTTCCTGTCAATGATTTTCTGAGCACCTTTCTTCTCCAATAGCGTTAAATCTGATGAAACAAAACCTGTGTTTGGTGTGTTGTGATGTTAGAGCTTTGCCCTACAGCTCTTCTAATATTGCAGTAAAACATTTACAAAAACACACTGCTGCGTCCTGCATCAGCCTTCATTCCTTCCCAGAAAGTCTAAGTAACAATGCATCTGATGTTGCTTACTTCTTTCTCCACTCTCTCCCCAGGCTTTGAAATATTCCTTTGTTTCTTCTTCAATCAGAGTTACATGCTGCTTAAACTGAGCAATGTTTAGCCCAGTTTTGAGCATCTTCTTCTGTTCCAAAAATACCTAGAGGAATCAAAGCAGAAACAATCAGTAAAACGTTCATCATATTAACGTGATTAATAAACTCATTTCATATGTACTACAAAAACATATAAGAGTAAAAAGGAAATTAGGACTTAGAGTACAACAGAGCATCTTCCTCCTCTCCCACAGAAACACCTTACACTGGCCTCGAGATGCACCTTGCTTTAAGAAGGCCCAGCAGCCTGACCTGGCAGCACGAAGCAAGCTATTTGCTAGGGAAGCTTTACACCCTTCTCCACATTTTTTCTGCAGATAGACTCATAGCTAAGAAAGGTACTGTAAAAAGCCCACTATTAGAAGAAAACCATCAAATGGGTTGATAGGACATCTACTCAGAAAATTATTCAATTAATTTTTAAGTCTTAGTTATAGATCAGAGTATTTGTCCTATAGAGCTGTACAGTACCATGGACAACTGACCAAAGATTGTCTTCCTACCAAGAGCTCTACACTTAGTGTAAAGTTATATACAAAACAAAAAGCATAAAAGAAAGGCTGCTCAGCAGTAATTGCATTTTCAGAATGCAGTGGGCACACCCTGGCAGAGCAGTGGTGCAGGCATGTTTTCCCTTGCAACATGGCAGCCCATCTCTTATCTGGATGGAAAGCATACGGTATGAACACACCTTACCAGTGCACTGCCTCCCAAAAACATGCTGCAAGAAGTTTGGAGGAAGAAGACAGAGAGGGAATCTGAACTGATATATAAACAATGCATATCAACAGACATCATTATCAGTCACAACTAATATTCAAACAAGTAGTCAACCCTAGGGGGTGGTTCTTCTGGAACACAACCAAAAGACACTTTCAGACTGAAGAGCAGACAGGATTCTGCAGTTCGTTGTTCCAGACAACACGTATAAGCATGAGAACAGCCAATGCTCCTCTCAGAAGCAATGCTATGTGGCACAGCTACTTTAATTCCAGATGAAGGCAGGCTGTACTCTGCAAACACGCAGGCTGATTTCTGTCCTAGTGAGACAAGCTTTGTGGTGCCTACGGTCGAATCACTAGTCTCACATAGAGGTTAAATATGACAGAAATGAGAAATCATCCCTCAGAGCTCTAACAGAAGGAAGATCTAATGTTCCTCATAAGGGAAAAGGAAACTGTAGTCAGTGACAGGCTATAAGGGAATAAAAAAAAAAAAACCAAAACACTCATTTATTAGTTTTCCTCAATGGTGGGATTAGACAGTTTCTAAAACAAAAAGCAGCATCCATACTAATGGACAGTAAGGCTGAGTTGTTCACTGCCATTCAGGCTGGATCGTCCAACTGAACTCTCAACCACACCATGCCTTCTGCCAGAATCTCAAGCCCATCATACAGAGCCAAGGGCTCACAGCTGTCAGTCAGAATGTAAGCGACCCTCGTTTTCTGCTCATTTCTATGTAAGATACATACCGCGTTAGGGACGTCGTAAGCCACCCCCTTTCCAAAGACTGGTGTGGTCAGCCTGGAGTACACATCTTCTGCATTCAAGTCTTCATTTTTGCTGTTGAACAGCAGCGCAGCAGCATCGCTGCCCAGCAGGTACGTAAACGTCTTGCCAACCATAGTGAAACTGAACACAGGTCCATACTGAGAGGAAAAAACACCCGTTTGTTTTAAATAATAGGAACACAAATCACGGAGTCGTTATCTCTTTACAAGCTTCTACAAATCACTTCTCCTAAGAAACACATATAAACTGCGTAAAATAGAAACATTTTAAGCCATATTTAAATTCTGTTCTCAATATAAAATAACACATCAGTAATAAGTCTAATTAATATCTGTAATCTCGTGAGATGTAGGATCATTAAGTGTCAAAAATGGAAATTAAAAAACTATGATAGAGAGACCACCAGACACGCGGGCTCCAGAAATCAATGCACACTGCTTTGGAAAAAAGACTGGGTCTGCAGTTATGAACTGATAATGTAAGATTTTAACATTTAAAAGTCACCTCCAGCAGATTCCCACAAGTGAATTTGTCTTTCTCCAAGTTAATCAAGCTGGGATTTAAGCTTATGACTTTGGACATTTTAGACAAGGTAAAACGTGTTGGTGCATCTTATTTTGCTGGAGAGAATTAAGGCTCTACTGCCTTAGTCCATTTCTTTGGGGCTATTCCAATTTCTGGGATTCTATACCCCACTCTTCTGGTAGAGCGGAGGACCTCGACATTCATGCAGTCACCTGCAGAGGGGTCAGCTCCATCCCAGCCTGCTCACAGACACATCAGCACAGAGCACTGATCAGCACTGTTAACAGTTTCCAATTAAAGCACGAAATAACACCATGAATGCAGATTTTTAATGAGCGTGATCCAACTCTGAGCCTCACCCAAAGACTTTTTAAAGACAGGAGCTGTTTCAGAGAACACAACTATTTCTGTAACACCAATGCACTGCACACAAGATGTGTAAAAGGCACAACCTCCTGCACACTTCATATTCCATATTTGAGGAAATAGGAGGGAATTCACTGACTGTAAACAGATCCCAACAAGCACGCAGCAACGCTTTGGCACTGCTCAGCCACCCAGGACAGCACACCTTGTCATAGGCATTTTCCAGAAACTCAATAGGGCTCTTTCCAAACGCTACGGCATGTCCGAGGAATGGGATGCTCGAGGGGATGTGAGGAGGGTGGTTCTGCAGAGGAAAGAAAAGCAAATATTGAATTTTCTTCAGAGTAACACAGCACTGTGTTCAGCCACAAGAGTTGCACACGCACTCTGCTCAAGATCTTCGGTGAAAAAAGCGACTTCGATCGACACGACCTTTTACAAGAAGGCCAGGCTGCTTTTCAAACCACTCGGCCAGGTCGCCGACCCGCCCTCCCGCTCCGAGAGCGACGCCAGAGAGTACCGCAACGGACAGACGGCAGACGCCGGGAGGCGCTGCCCGCGGCCCTCAGCGGCCGCTCCGCACGGTGCCGCACAGGGGGCCGAGGCCGCGCCCCGACACGGCCCGCCCGGGGTAACCGGACGCACCGCCCGCTCCCCGCGTGCCCCGCGCCTACCGTCCGGCCGGCCCCGACGTGGCGGCGGTATCCCAACTGGAAGAGGTAGCCGAGGCTGAGCGCGAAGGCGGAGGCGGCCAGCAGCAGGGACAGCGGGTTGCCGACGGCGGCCCGCTCCAGCAGGCTGCCGCCCACCTCCAGCAGGCTCAGCATCGCCTCGCGCTCGGCCGGTGCCGGTACCGATGGCGACCGCGAACCGCTACCGCGCACCACGGGGGCGTGCCCGCAGCCGGCCGGCCCAGCCACGGCGCTGGGCTGATCTCTGCCCATGTGACGACTGACGGCGGCCCGGCCAATGGGCGGCGGCGCGCCACGGGGTGACGGCATCGGCCGGGCTGCGACGGGCGCCATTGGGCGGGCGGCGGGGCGGGGCGGGAGCGGCGGCGGCACCGGAGGAGACGGGGGCGGGCGGTGCCCGGGGTGCGGGCAGTGCGCTGTGCGCCGTGCTGGCTGCTGTGCGGGCCGTAGCAGCAGGGATGCGATGTGTGCTGTGTGCGCTGGGGCTCGAAGGACTGTCTAAACGCTGTAACGATGCTCCGCAGCCCTGTCTTCGCTGTCCTGGCGCTGCCAGCCGCCATTCTTGCTTGACTCTTGGGGATAAAGGGTGAATGTCTCCTCTCCAAGCATGGGCAGTAGGAAAGGGCAGATTTAAAAAATAAAAAAAGTCCAGGAAGGTGACAGGAAGCAGCAAATGGTACAGATAAGGAAGGCGAGGAGAGGGCTGTGAGGCTGCGGACTCCCAGGGCAAGAGAAGGTCCCAAGAACAACTTGAGGGAGGCAGAGAGCATTTGGTCTTGGTGTAGGGTGAGATTGAGCCGGTGGGGGTGTTACAAAAAACACAGCACTCTGCTGCTGATGTTCTGTGGTGCCAGGCATGCATTTGGAAAAACTCCTCAGCACAGCTTATGGTAGGGTCACATCCTGAAGTCAGGCACAACCACACTGAGAACCAAAGCAAAGTGGGCGCAGCCGCTGGGTGCACTGACACGGCGCTGTTCCAAACCAAAATGGTAATGTGAGCACCAGGAACTATTCCCAGACCTGAGCTCTCATAATCTTCACTGACAGATACTTTCTTCATTCTAGGGGCAGGCCTTCAAAGCAAACACAAGTGCAGTTTCCACATTCAGCTGCTACCTTTAATCCACACAGGTGCAGAATTACGGTTAAGACAGAGAACATCACACTCACAAATATCACATTTGTGACAACACAGCTGTCTGGACAATACAGATGTGTTATCCTGGACTCACAGTTCCCTATTTCAAAACTCAAAGCTCCCATATGCTGCACTAATTGGGAAACAAACAGCACATCTCTTCCTGCTCTGCATACTGGTAAGCCAGAACAGTAACACAGCACTGGAGCTCAGTGCCTGCTGCACATTTTCAGAATGCTGCCCCTATTTTCATACATCCTCAGAAAACACTCTAGAGTTGGTGCTGAATGACATGTCAAAACCACAAACATACAGCTTGTTTCCGCTCGGAAACACCATTCAGGAATTTAAACAAGGAAACCCCAGCAGTGACTAAATAACTTGATGTGATAGATTCACTCAAGTCTACTGAAGTTTTCATCAGTTTAACACACACTTTCTAACAATTAGTTCACATTAGAAATAAGTGAATTTTTGATTCTTTTTTAAACAAGCAATCTTTAAAAAATGAATCTAAGATTATGAATGTTTCCTAAATACACACTTGAGCTCTTATGATGATGTGATCATGTGATAAGAATTAATGGGGGAAAAAAAAAGAATGACAAGACAAACCTTTGTTCCCTTCGTAAGTACTGTTTGTACATCACACGTTTAGAACGTCACCGATTGTGCACAGAGCTTTAAAGCTTTCACTTTGCTGGTTAGATGATGCATGCCTGTCATTACCAGCATTCTGATCAGTTTCTCTATCATTTCACCATAAGTTAGGGCTTGGTTTTCACTGATCCAGATGTCCAGCGCCTTGGTGATTTTCTCTTTCAACTTAAGAGCCCTGTTTGGGAAAAAGTTATGAAGTAAACATCTGAGAAAATAAAAGATTTGTAGATAGTTACTACATTTTGCACAGATATTCTGTATTTAACAGAAGCACTGTGAATTCTGTAATCAAAATACTGCGTGTTAACTCCATAACATCGTAATGAAAAGGGAAATGGGAAACATAAAATGAAAAGGTACAGTTACAAACAGCTGTCCCTAACCTGGTATTTTGCAGAGCCTTGATGTCAGTCTGACCAAGCTGTAGTTTCTGGCAGAAGAATTCAAAATCTTCAGAAGCAACATTGCCAGCAATCATTTCTATCATCTTGTGCAATATTTTCTCTAAATATAACCACATAAAACGTGTAATTAATAATACAGAATCGTGTATCTTTTGTATCATATGTTTTGTAAATAATGCTAATCTGCTTTGGGATTTTGTTAACTCCCAAACACCATTTCCAAGGTGATGTCTCCATCCTGGTGGACAGACCACCATCACCATTTCTGGGCGATGGTCTTTCAGGTCTGACTCCCTGACAGCCCTGCTGGGAAGAAGTTCAGAAGCTTTTCATTCTTTTCAGTTTGAAGCAGCACAGCTCCAAGCTCCCTTTGTTTGAGGTGGGAGAGCAGGGTGTGCTTCCAGAACGTACACCATGAGTTACAGGAAGAGCAAGCTGGGGAGCTACAGCTTTGAGAATGCTTTTTACAGCAATCAACTGCCTCACAGCTCTGCTCACCATCAGGTGAGAGTGAAGCAGATTGTCAGAACACCTGCACATACCTGAACTGCTCATGGATGCTAAGAATACCATTTTTTCTCTCCCTTCTGTTGACCCAAAACAAGTGTTACTACTGACAAGAGTTTACAGCGTTTATACTGCGTAAGATGAAGCAGTGATTCAAATATTTTGTTCTCTTTGATCATAATCAGGTTGTGAAAGGACTACTGTGGGTTCAGCCGAATCACTGCGGCGCTGAAACACGCTCCGCTCCATGAAACAGGCAGCGCTCCCTCCAGTCGAGGATAATAGCAGGGCGTGCTGGAATAAGATTCAACATCGAAAATCGGCAACGAAAATGAGGGCACCGGACTGCCTCCCAGTGACCCAGGAGCGTAACTGCAGGCAGGCAGCGCCTCCTGCCTGAGGGGCAGCGAGTAAGGCAGCAACGTTTTAGTCAAAAGCAAGTACAGCACAAGGGTAACATCTGATAGGCCTTCAGTGTACCATGCTCGATAATGATGGGTAGGAGGGCCACAGAGAAGTCAGGATATAGGTAGATATTGAGATTTTGCATTCTCAAGAGCTGAAAAAGAGCTAGGGAAGTTAAGAAAGGAGGAAGATGCTATTCTACTCTCTACAAATTGCCTCTCTGATGGATAGAGTTGAGGTAACCCTAAGCTTGTGTATTTTATTTAACTGTGTCTGGCTTTCTGGTTTGAATACAAAACTCAAGACCTCGATTTCAGTTTTAAGCTGTCAGCTTCCATTTCTGATAAGAGTCCTAATGGAACAATATCACCTTAGTTCTTAAAGCAGTTCTCTTATCAGTGAGCCATGCAATAATAAAATATGAATCTTGTTTCTATTATGCCCATGCAGTACAACATCACACTAACCATCACCTCAATATTGCCTACAGTAACAGAAGTCAGTGAGGAACAGAAACAGAACTAATAATGATACTGCCTTCTGAAAACAATGGAGTTTCAACAGCCGCTGCTGGAGCTACCTTTAATGCACAAAAATACCCGTGTATGTTTTTAACATACCATCTCTTTCATTAGCACTTTCCAGATAGCATAGAATGGGATGTAATTGCTTTCCTTTGCAGATATCTTGTAGTGGCTCAAACAGAGAATTTCCATCAAAGTTTATGTCTTTCAGCAAATAAAGGTGACGAAGGCCAGCAGGCAAATATCTCAGCCGATTTTCTGTTGAAATACATAAGCATACTTAATTTCATCTAAAAAAAAAAAAAAAAAGCATCCTTTGTCCAGAGGATTTTAAATTATTTCAGTCAGAAAACATCTGAATACATTTGCAAAGCAGCCTAGCTGTCTGTGAAGCACAGCAGGTAGGCAGGAGGGATCACTTCCTGGGATACCTCAGATCATGGTGAACACACTGCTTTCCTAGACAAACAAGACTCTGTTCCTGTCTCTGCACAAGAGAGCCATGAGCTTCAAGGTGAATTAAGCACAATGTGGAACACAGCAGCTGTGCTGCTGTGATATAACTGAGAACATGTTGTGCAGCTCTGCTTCACACCCATCTCTGTCATCACATCTCTAACAGCCACTTGGCAACCCAGTAAATCAGCCACCAAAAAAGGACAACGGACTGTGTTGTATCAGTGATACTGAGCAGACATCTGGACACACAGATACACATCCTTTGCAACAGAAAAGTGTCAGTCTTGCACACAGCAGAAAAATGAAGGGGTTGAATGCTTGATACTTACCACTAAGGTCAAGGTGCTGCAGACTTCCTAGCGATGTAATAGATCTGGGGAGCTGGCTGATCTCATTGTTATTTGCAATTAGATGGACCAAAAACTTCAGTTCCCCTATGCTGTCAGGCATTTCCTTCAGCGCGTTATGAGATATGTCAAGCTCCCTGAGGGACACCAGTTTGGAAAGCTCCTCTGGAATTTTAGTTAACTGATAAAAATAAGAACACAATTCATTCACTTATATACAACTATTTCTCTTCTGTAAAAAGTTCAAAGGTAACTTTCCTGCAAGCAAAAGTACATTCCTTAATTCCAACAATAAAAGTTCTGAACTTCTATTCTAGTGGAAGCTCGTTTAGTATTTTCCAATAAAAATATTGCTGCCAAGCACAGAATTTTTCAGCAAAATTCCTAAGGCATAATGATAGAATGACAATTGAAAAGCCAAGCCTCTATTGATAGAACTTCAAGAGCGATTATTTTCATCATTACTATCGTTAATGAAAGATTTTACCCTCTCAGAACACTCAACACATTTAAAACAAAAAAAGAAAAAAATACTTTTTTTTTTTTCCCCATTTTGGTTCTGTTCATCCCTTGATCTTTTCTAATTTGCACTGTTCCATTAGGAACTTTAACTGTTCTCCAGTTATTGTGGAAACAAGACTATGATAGCAGATTTTTTTGTGTCTGAGAGAAGTAACCCCTTGGAAGATATAACCATACTTGGAATCATACAAACAAACCTGAGACTTTTCTGTAAAGCTGATTTTGGAAACTCAGGTGAAAGAAGAGATTAAAATGGATCCAAGTTGAAGGAGGGAAGATTTAGGTTGGATGTTAGGGGGAAGTTCTATACAAGGAGAGTGGTTAGGCCCTGGAACGGGCTGCCCAGGGAGGTTGTGGATGCCCCGTCCTTGGATGTGTTTAAGGCCAGGTTGGACGGGGTCCTGGGCAACCTGATCTGAATGTGTGTGTTTGGTGGCCCTGCTAGGCAGGGGGGTTGGAACTACATGATCCTTGAGGTCCCTTCCAACCCGGGTGATTCTGTGATTCTGTGATCTGTGATTCTGTGAAGCGCTGTGCATTTGCTTCAGAAAGAGATTTTCTTTGTTTTCAACTGACAATAAGAGCAATTCCACTCTATCCATAACAACCACTAACCTGCATTGTTAATTGGAAAAGAAGGTTTACATTTCCTCAGGAGATTGTTCTGACCTGTTCCTTAGTATTTGTTAAATGAAATTATTAAACTTTGAATTTCAGAAACATGAAGCAATTTTCTCTACTATAAGCAATCACAGAAGTAATACAGCTTTTCTTGTTTGAGCTAGCGAAAGTTTAATGAACTTGTAAGAAGTATAACAAAGTTGGAAAGACTGGTTCATTTAACAGAGGAATCTTGGAGGCAGGCTTATCTATCAATTTCCAGCTAAGTGTATAATCAATGAATATTAAGATGCTATAATTACAAAATAAACAAGAGAGTTTGGCAAAGCAGATAATCATAACAAAAAGAGAATAGATAGAAAGCTTATCCGCACCCTGGGCTCACTTACAAAACTCCAGCAGAGCAGATCTCCACAAGAGATCCTTCCCCACTGGTAGTCAGCCCTTAAATGGGTCTAGGAGAGGTGCAGCCAGGCTCCACCCCTTCCTGCAGCACAGGAGAATTGCCTTCACCTGTGCTCCTGTGGCTGACTCAGTGCTCGCCTCAGGTGGATTAATACAGTTGGAAAATGTCTATACTAACTTTCCAGCATGACTATCTGCACAACACAAGGTTTCTAACCTAAGGAAACGTTCTCTTACCTTCAGCCCATTCACCTGACACACAGTCAATTTCTCCAGTGATGAAAGAAGACATATTTCAGAAGGAAAAGATGCAAACTGGTTGTTTGATACATTTAAGTCTTTAATCGTTTCCAGATTGCTGATCTTTAAAGGAATATTCTTTATCTGATTATTTGAAATGTCGAGTGTTTTTAAACCCTTTAAAGAACACAATTCTTCAGGAAATGACTCAAACTTATTGTGGTGCAGAAAAAGAACCTGGAGAGCCTTCATTTCAGATACCACTGCTGGCATACTATTGATTTCATTCTCACTTACATCCAAGTAAACGAGTTTTGTGAGGCTGCACAAGCATGCAGAAAATGAAGACAGTTTATTCTTGTTTAATTCTAGATGCTCCAAATCTTTAATATCAGAAATTCCAGGTATTAATTCTGAAATAGAGTTGCCACTGAGATTTAAATATTTAAGATCAGATAGTGCACACACCGCATTTGGAAACTGAGAGAGCTTATTATTGCTGAGATCAGCTTCGGTTATCCTTATGCAAGTTTTTAATTCGACAGGGATGTATGTTAATACGTTTCCAGAAAGCTCTATTTTGGAGAGCTCTTTTAAATGTGATATTTGTTCAACCAGCAAGTTTAGTTGATTCCCATTTAAAGAAAGCTCCTTTAAATTTTTAAGTCTGTGAATATTGGCAGGGAGCTGGGTTAACTGATTATCACATAGAACAAGATGTTTCAGCATAGTACAGTTGCAAAGATTATCTGTAATGCTTTTGAATAAATTTTTTGAAAGGTTCAGGAACGTAAGCTCTCTCAAGTTCTCCACTTTATCTGACAGAAACTCCAATTTGTTATCATCAGCTCTGAGTCCTTTCAGTTTTGTCAGCTGGAAAAGCTGCACAGCAAGAAATAAAAGCTTATTGCGACTAATTGAAAATTCTTGTAATTTCTTGAGCTCTTTAATATCTTTCGGCAAACTCTGAATGAAGTTCCCACATAAGCTGAGATTTACCAGATTGGGAAGGTAGCAGAGAACTCTTGGAAATACTGCGATCTGATTGGAATCAATGTTGAGTACCTTCAAGTTTTTCATGTCAATCATGGCATCTGGCAAAGTTTTTATCTTGTTCCCAGCAAGCTCTAATGTTTCAAGGCTTTTCAATGCAAAAGGAAATTCATCAATGCTGTTGTGATTGAGAAAGAGCTCCTTAATATTTACAAGCTTGGGCAATTCTTCAGGGAGGCACGATAACCGGTTGTGACTAACATTTAACACTTTCAGTTTATGAAGCAATGATATTTCTGGCGGCAGCAGTGTCAGTCTGTTTCTTTCAAGTACCAGGATCTCCAGATTAGACAGGTTAACTGTATTTAAGCGTAGCGTTTTTATTTCGTTGTTCTGTAAGAGCAAGGTTTTTACATTTTGGCTTTCGGAAGCAGACTGAGGCACGTCCTGGAGCCCTTTATCACTCAGTCTAAGTGTGAAACTCCTTTCTTCAGCAGGCAACAAAAATGTTGATCTGCTTCCAGCACTTTCAGCATTCACTGCTGATGGTGACAAGCCTGGTCTGCCATCTCCTGTGACAGCCCCTGCAAGCACTGGCTTTCGCTCTCCAGTGTCTTTGTCAGCTGACTTCAACATGTGCTTTCTCACACCTGTTTCAGAGACAGCCTGAGGCGCTGTGCTACTGTTTATCTCAGTGGAGGATTCAAACTCATTCCTTTTACCCGGTAAATCACTTCTTGGGACGTTTTCAGTCTTTTTATGGCCTTCCAGATCTGCTTGAGGCCCTTCCTGTGAAATTTCACTCAAACTTTCCACAGTTGGGTCAGCTACTCCAGCAGTCTCTGATAAACGTAAGGAGTCTTCCCTGGCACCGTCGTCAGCAGTGCCGCGAAAGCTTTTCAGTTCTGAGTTCAGACCCCCCGGAACGTCATCTTCTTCCTTCTCCAGAGACATCGCTTCTTGCTAAGTCTTCAAACGTGCATCCCTCAGTTTTGCTTCCCAGTTTTAAAGCACGCCCAACCTGAGCTACCAACGACGGGGGGAACCCCCGTATTTTCAGAGTAACTCTTCCAGCTCACTGCAAGCAGCAGCAGCGGCAGCCGCAGCAGCCCATACCCACCCGAGGGTCCTCCTCCTCAGGAGCAACCCCGCCTACCCCGCGCCGCGGGCACGAACACTGCTAAGCCGGAGACGCTCCCGCCTGTCCCCGGAGCGGCCCGTCCCGTCTCAGCCGGCAGAGCAGCAGGCGCAGCGCAGAGCCAGCTCCCTCAGGGCAGCTCGCCGTTGCCGCGGCAACCCGCGGTGCCTTCCGCGCGGCGCCGAGGAGCGGTTGCGCACGCGCGCTGCAGGAGTGCTGCTTGGGCTGGGAGCGGGGCTGGCGGCGGCCGCGGCGCTTTCCCGGCTGCTCTCAGGGCAGAGAGCTGGACGCATACCGCTGGCCCTCCGTTGAAGGCCGAGCACCGTTTTGCGGCTGCTTTGTATTAAGCTTCGCAGCGATTCTGCCGGCCGGCCGGCCGGCCTCCCACCACACACGCTGTACCTTTCCGCTGCCCAACGCGCCGTGGCTGACGCGGGCAGCACTGGTGGGGTCGAGCAGCCGGCCCTGCCAGCAGCAAACACTGACGAACTGTTCCACGCGATAAAACCATGCTTGTTTTTCACAGTGTATATTTTCAGCTGCCTGGCTGGAACATACACTCGGTCTTTGCTTTGTCAACTGTAAAGTTCAACTACTCATTTAAAAAATGCTTATGGTGATCAACCTGTATGGTTGATCCTGCTTACTAAGGCATGATTTTGATTTCTGCAGCTTTTTCAGCTCTACTGTTTGGCACAGAGCACAGCTGCTAGTGGTCCACATGCTGCCTCCCTCTCTGCTCCAGTCCCATTTCCCCACTCCCAGACAGAAGGCTGGCACTCACCCCTCCTTGTCGCAACACCACAGCAGCACCTCCTGTTCCTGGCTGCCAACAGCCTGCCTGGAGCTCCAGCTCAAAGCCTTCCGATAGGCATCACCTGCTCCCAGCTGGCTTGCCCGGACTCAAGAGTTCCCTTTTTCCGATGCGTTCCTGAGTTGTTTCCAAGGCGTGCAGCAAGGTGCTCTGTGCGTCCTAATCTGCAATCACCTGGAACCCTCCTCCCTGTGATCCTATCTCATGACCATCCTACACCACTCGCAAGGATTACTCAACCCCTTTCCCAGGTGCACAGCAGTGTGCGCCTTAACTTCTAATCACTGTGGAACTGTTCCCATGATCCTATCTCACTATTATCCTACAAAACCTGCAAAGACCAGCCTGTTCAACAGCCCTTTGGCGGTACCACCTGCTCGATAAGACATTTCAGGGCACTTTGATGCTGGCTGCAGTTAACACAAATAACAAAGGTGATTTGTAAACAATTTATTAGGTAGTAATAAATAAGAATCTTAGCAGAAAGAACTATACAGCAATAAGGCATATTAATACTTTCGTTAAATATGTAACTGTGACATGCATCAACGTTTTCCTTCTAGTTCTGTAACAAAGTGCTGTGTAGCAAAGAGTACTTCTGATACCAGTGCCACGAAAGCAAGAATGCTAAAAAGGACCTGACTGTTGCATTATTTACCATAAATAAAAGATAAATTTACTGCTATTTATGCCCATTAAATAATAAAGCTTGCTAAGAAGACTTCAAAGTATCTTCTGTTTATTTTTTAACTTGTTCACTACTTTAATTCCTTAAACTGTACTTACTAGTAGTGAGGTACCATTAAAGGTATTACAAAACAACAAACTTGGGGTTTTGTTTTGTTTTGAACTTCTTTTTACAAAGTACTGCAAACTGTTTTAGCATGCAGCTTACATGGAAGGAGTAATCAAGTGCACTTAGAACCCTGAAATATAACCAGAATTTTTAGAGGTGTATTATGAATACTGTCTTAAAGTACAAAGACATTTCAGAATCCATAGGGTCCCCATCTTACACTTGGGACCCAACTTGCTAAGACCCAGCTGTGACTTAGTAAAGAGCAAGAAGAATGCTTATAAACTTGCATGTTAAACAGTAATTGTAGCATTGAGTCCTGTATTCTCTACTGCTTGCGGTTTCAAGGAAATGAAATAAGCAATGAGAAGGAAAATTAGTTGAAAAGAAGTGACTTAGTACCCCCTATATGAGTTCTTGTTACTGAAGATGTGTTGCAATCCAGGATAAGAATTATTAAAGTATCTGAAGACCTCTGAATGAGATTTGTTTGTAAACCTCCTCCTTCTCCATATGCAAATGTTTTATATTGCACGGCAAAAGTAGAAGTCCAGTTTTCTTACAAGCACACTAAATATTGAATATGGCTTTTGAAGATTTAAAATAGTTCCCTTTCGACATCTTCATGCAGTATTTTAGAATAAATATGAACACCAAGTATGAGAAATAAGAGTAAAAATAAAGCCAGCTATCACATTTGTCAGAAACCAAGTAAGGTTTATCAAAAGCAGATGTTCAAAAGACTGGCTGGTCTCCTAAGCATATTTACCAAGAATATTTTAAAAGTAAAGTTTGTCTAAAAATACTGTAACACATACAACCTCCTTGATGTTCTATAGAAAGACATGTAAAGTGAAGATGTTAACTGAGATGTGCTTAACAGCACCATCAGTCTCACCATCCCCTGGGAAAAAAGTTTCCAGATTCATTTCTGTCCAACAGTCAAGAATGGCTCGATTCACTCTTGTCCAATTTGGTAAAGCATTTAAATTTTGCTAGCTTTTACTGGTAACTCAAGCTCTACAATAGCTTATATATGAAACAAAAATATTTATAAAAATAACAGATATGTTGTAAAGCTTTTTAAAAAAATAAATCATGCAGGTTCTGTACAAAGTTAAAAAACTGTACAAATGGACTTTTCTCTTGTGTAAAATTCATGTACATGGAAGTCTTCTGTTAGGGTGAGAATTTTTTGCTTAGCCATAAGATGCTGTTTCATCATTTATCCATCATTCATTTCTTTCACTAGGCATTAATTGGCCATTTAATTTCATCAGAAGTTTTACGATGAGACCTGCCTATAGAAAGGTACACAATTAAATTCTAATCAGCATTTCACAACAATTGCACAATCAATTTAAGTATATGGTAAATGCAAGTATATAAACAGAAGTTAGAAGTTGCATCATTTTAGAGATAACAATGAAACCAAAAACTAGGTTTTTTTCCTTATAAATGAGGAAATATTTTTCAAAACACTAAGTCACTTCTTCCTCTCTATCCAAATTCTTATGATGTAAAAATCAAAAGGCAACTACTGTCAAACTATGCAACATACTCAAAGCTGCAGTTTTGTCACAACACCTTTCAACATGACATATGGTCTGTGACGATATTTGACAATGCCAAACTCCACTAGTTTTGACAGAAATGTTACCAGCTCTAACTCTGTGATTCTTGTCGTATTTGGAATTATCCTTAAGGCCTATGGGATTGGGCACACGCAACAAACAGTTTTCACTACCAAAAAAAATGTTCTCCCTAATGCAAGTTTATTCTTACGTATTTAGAATGCTAAAGGCTTCACGTTCTGTAAGAACAAGCAAACACTCTGAAATATTGAGAAAAGTTCTCATCTGAAAATCACTTTGGGGGCAGAGTTTGGGTGGAGCTTCTTTTATACAGTACAAGGGTCAACCAGAAGAGAAGGAACATGTATTTGGTCCAAGAAATTCTATGATGGATGAAATTCTATGTTGAATGAAAAATGTCAATGCTTACCTGTTTGGTATGCACAATAAAACTCATTTTGTTTTCCAGACTGTGTATCTGAAAACATGTATCTCCATCTCCCAACTGCCACATAAAACAGCCATACTTTAAGCTGAGGAGTAAAGCCTACAATAAAATAGAAAACCATCATTCAGAAAGCACTGTCCATACTTACAGATGGAACTTCCCTTATTTCACTTAAGACAGAATTCTACCTAAGTGGAAAAGTATGTTCCGTATTCAAGCTGTAACTTATAAAGTAGTCAAGTTGAAAAATACAAGGCTTTCCATTAAAGTGCTTTTTGAAGACTTCAGAATCTTGGAAATCTTCATGGTCAATTTAGATGTGAAACGCCTACTAGCACAGAGAATTTAAGAGAACAGCATTAAACGTAGAAGTTTTCATCAGCAGTTCACTTAAGCTGACCTTTGTTTCCATGTTCAGGAGATGCAGCCCTTTCACATTTACTCCTACGTAGACCTTGATGACTTTATGGCTACTCGAACTTGCTTTGGTGAATATTTGTCCTGTGAAAAAAGCTGCTCCATAAGTTGGAATTTCCCAGCAATTCTGCAAAAACATGCGCTGAAGGTGATGCATCTCTTTACTTACACCTTCACTGGTGCTCAGATTCTAGAAAGAAAAAAACACAGGAAATCAATAAATCTTCCAAAATACCTGCATTTATTTGAAGAACATGACATAGTTCAGTGGAATTCCCACTGAAAAAGAAAGTCTCAGATGCTGAAACAGACTGAGAATGTAGGTCCCTGTACGAGCCTCAGAAATCTTAAACACAGACACCTAACCACTTCAGGTTCCCACAGTTTCCCCTCTATTAGAAGTATTTCAGACTAGCCAGGGTTAACCAGCTGATACTACATACATCAAAATAAAATAATAATAACAATAATGATAAAAAACCCTAAGCACTCCTCCTTTGAGGGGTCCAAAGCATGCTTAGATGAGCATGAAACACAGTATGCTCCTGCAAACATGGATTTTTTTATTTTTTTTAAACAAAATAAGGTGCAAAATTTGTTTTCCTGAACAGAGCCCTCATTTAGAATGAGAAACAATCCTGATATTTCCTCCTTCTCAGTAGCATGGAACTGTTACAACAAAGGGTTGTTAGACTGCTCCTAGTTCAAAACTGACTGATGCACAGTACTCAAAACAAATGAAGGAAAAAATAATTTTCCAAATCTGAAACTAAGGGACAAAAATTCAGCAAAGCCACACATGAGATTAGAAGGCATAAAAGAGAACACAAGCCTTTAGCAATTAGGGGGGGGTGTAATTGTGGGTGGGGTAGATGGCACCAACCTCTTTGTTGCACACCCTGCATTACAACTTACCTGAATGCTACGGCTATTCTTAAAATATAAAATGGATTAAAATATTTGGAGCAAGGACTGAAACACCTTTTCCTTTCCCCTGTACCTAAAAATAACAGCCTACAGCAGAAGCCTACAATGCTGTGCTCTAATATTTTATCTGACACAAGAAAGAGTAAAGAATACTCTGCTGTGTCCTCTGCTGTACCGCAGTCTTAGGAAGAATATTCTCTTCCTTTCTTCATCTGTATTATGAAGAACAAGAGTGATGTGCTGGTTTCTGACAGAAGAGGTGTTGACATCAGGAAAAAGTTAATTACTGAGTAACTTTGACTCAAAGAAAGAGGGGCAAGGCTGAAAATGTTCCCTGTGCGCCTCTGCAGTTTCCTGTCAGACATCTAAAGTGATTCATATCAGCTGGAACAATTCTCTATCTGTCACACCTTATTTATTCTACAATTTTTCATGAAGTTCACAAATTTAATTGTCACATGTGTTTGACTCAGTTTGGAAATCAAAGCTTTTAAGTCTTTTACAGAAGCATCCTAAGTCCATGCATAGAAATTTTCCTAAATTAACGACTGTAGTCAAGGCAGTTTGTGCACCAGTAACAGATCCCTACCATACAAGCTACATCAGCAAAACAGGCTTTATCAACCTGTCATTATGAGCAGATGTGAAAATATAAGTCAGAGCAGATTTTCTACGTGTATACCTGTACAGGCGGTACCCACGAACGTAAAGTTAACATGGAAGTAAATGAGCAGATGACAAATCATATTTATTTCTAAGAAGCATATCAGCTGTAACTGTACAAGAAATAAGAGCATTCCAACAAGAACCCATCAAAAAATTCATAACATACGCATTTCCAGATTATATACACACCAACATTTTTGTTCATTATCTGACAATCGAACAGTCAAAAATATGCTCAGACAGGATTTTCTATAATTTTTCTATTTGTCCTACCTTGTATTCATGAAGTATTCTGTTTGTCCAATGAGGAGCTTTACTTTTTAGTTTAGTGATTGGTACTATAGATTTAAGATTTTCTTCACTATAGAAAAAAACAAAGCAGAAAAAAAAATTCCTTCATTAAACAAAGAAAGAACTAAGAGTAGTGTCTGCCAGTTTTTATCTTCAAACCACATACACAGAGCTAGACAGCCAGCTCCCATCAAATGTTCCCTCAGCAACTGAGAAGCCTTCCTGAAATTGAAGCTAAGGCTTAAAATGTAGTGGAATTCCCAATTAATGGTAATCCAGTTGATTTTGTGTTAACCACTTTTGTATCATGCATTACGGATGTGGCAGGGAGAGAAAATGCTAGCAGCAGAACATGTGAGCCTTAGCTGATTAAAGACTAGTATGGAAGCCAAAATTATAAAGGAACAGTCACCTAAACCAGAATATCAAAAGATGATGGCTTATAGGTTCACTGCTCTATTCAGTACCACCAGTGACTAGGCCCATTCATCTCCACATGAAAATAAGTTACCACATAACATGAAAGTGAAGCTATTTGCATGAAGAGCCTTTTTAAATGGAGGCAACAAACACTAAAGGGAGCCTCTACTAGCTTGCACAATTAATATAGACTTCATCCTTTAAACTAACAAGGACAACAGTACAGACAGACTGTTCAGATGCAGCTCACACTTAAAAGCAGTGTAACTGCAGCAGAAAATGCAGCTGATGTACAGATGGTGGAGCATGCAACCAAGAAAAGCAAGCCAGCACAGCTCAGCTGAAGCTGTGAATGAGAGGACATAAGAACTATAGTAGCATCCCAGAACAGCACATCTGCTGTTACGTGAATGAACTAAGGTGGAGATGGTGGGGGTTGGAGTGAAGATTTACATAGCAGAAAGCGAAATCCTGATGTGTTTTGATACTGCTGCATGTTTTGATACATGCTGTATGTGGAAGCATAAAAACATATCCCAGTTCTGCAGTCAAGAGGAGAAAAAGGGGAGGGAAAAGTACCATCTGGCAGAGCACTACCGGTCCTATATTTCTGACAAATTTAGTGTAGGATTACATACGTTCCTCCCTGAAAGAGGAACATCATTCTTAAAAGTTGGTCTGACTGGACGTTGTAAGGAGCATAGTCCACTTCACTCCTGTCAAAACTCTTCATTTGCTTGAGCACTGTTACTCATTTTTCTATTACTATGTCTCAGCACAGATCTGCAGAATACAGAACCTCTGTTCCTGGCCTCGGACAGCAATAATTAAAATCAGCATGTTCTTCAGACACCGTGCCTAACTTCTGTTAATGCTACCAGTACTATGTGGTTGTTCTGAACTAGACTCATTAAAGGAGAAGAATAATAAAAAATGCCATACCTAAAATTTGGTATTTCCACAGGTAAGTGGAACTATCTAAAAATATTTCATTTAAAAACAAAAACATACTTACTTTAGAAAGCCCTGTTTATGTTTCTTGCTCTCATAATTTCCATAAACTATCTGTAGAAGGAGACTTGCCAGGGTGATCAGCTTAGCATCGGGCGACGTATAGAAACCTTTCAATAAATTATATCTGGCTTCATCAAAAAGAATAAGAATAGCCAATGGATCCTCAATCTGTTTAAAAGATTTAAATAGCATGAATTTTCTTCAAAAAGAAAATGAGCTTAGAAAAAAAAAATGAATACAGTTCCTCACTGATTCAGAGGTACAAGACAAAATGTGTAATCCTGCTTTGGGTACATTTTAGTAATGCTCTGTAACAGAAAAAAAATGAAACAATTATTGTGATTGACTTAATTCAAGACTTCAGTGATCTAATGCATTTAAAAGGTAAAGGTTACTAACGTACAATGCACAATCAAAAACGTTCACAGAAATTTTGCTGTGTTTTTTTTTACCCACAAATCCATTTTGAGTACATTTAAATATTCCCATTGAAATCAACCAATTAAATATTGGAAATATCACAGAACAGGGAAAAGAAAGAAAATAAGGTAGGTTGTTAGTACATGTATGACAAACACAGAGACTGGGTCACAATTGATAAAGCCAGAAATTAGAATCTGAGTAAGTGCAGAGTAGGAATAGAGAGAAACTGACCACAAACTCTCACAGAAAAGGCAAGGAGATGAGAGACATGGTTTATGTCTCTGTTTAAGTATGTAAATTCAGCCATTAAATGCACTGAGCAGTGGTATTCAACGCGTTCTGATTCTGACCACGATTTCATGCTATCACTTCTAAGTGCCAACCTTTTTTTCTATTTCTAGTGGAAGTCTCACATCTCTTCTCAGGAAAAGCTGTGAAGTTTCCCTCTGAGGATCCAAGTTTGTCAGTTCAGTGAATATTTCAGGCCAGTCTCGAATATGCTGCAAAGGCTTGTGAAAGGGCTTCAATTGGAGGCCTAGGAAATATCAGCGTTGCGTTTATAAATAAACAGTAATAACCCAGCATATACATATGTGGATGATTTGATGCTGCATCAGAACAAGAATATCTGAAACTGAGGATTCATTTAAAAATAAATAAATAAATAATTTTTCTATGCTTTCTAAACTGCCTTATATAAAAGGTTTTCAAAATATGGATTTACCAACAAAACTATTGGCATATATTTAATAAATGCACTAATGATGAACTTTAGTTCTTTTCAGCTTCTCAAGAGTGAATTTGTATTTAAACATGTAATGGAGTACCAAGATGGACCACAAAACCACAAGTAAAGGACCTCCAGAAAGCTAGCAGCCATATTAAATAAAATTACATAGCAAAAATGTGACAGATTCTTGTCTCAACTCTTACGAGAGAAGAGAAATGCCATGCCCAAAAGTCAGATTTTTAATGGAAAAATACAGATATAGCCTATCTTAGAAACGTACCTTCTATTTTTTGAGACATAAACCATAAACTATTCAGAGCAGATATTCATTTTCATTTCTAAAATGTCTTGATTCTTAATAGGCTACAGTAATTCAAATTTACAAGTTCACCTGTCTATATGAGAAATGCAGAATCAATACAGAGCTTCCAACTACTATATACTGCAGTCTGTATCTTCAGTAGTGCTCATTCACTTATCCAGCCTGTCTCTGTGATTACTGCTTGCCCATTTTCTAGCAGTGAGGAAACAGAACTCCGTATTTATCTTATTTTCACTGCTCTGGCTTTTACATTATATGTAAAACTTCAAAGGAGCTATTAAGGCAGAACATCTTTTCACTACTATCAGAGAGTGCATTTCCAATTTTCATAAGGAAAAAAAAATTTAAATACAAATTTTAAAAAAGTGCAATAAACTGTCAAATATAACTGTATTCCTTGCAACTTACTGAGGTTCTCAGAACAGATCCAGATAGTAAAGTATTGCTGGGTTTCTTGAGACAAACGCATCCCTTCCATTATTTGCTGTACAGTAGTATTGTTCCCATGTTTCAACTCAACAGAGCGGTACGACCCATCCATACGATAAATTCGTGCCTTTTCATACTACATAAAAATTCAATTTATTGTTATTAATATTGATTTGTTAAAGTTCTTTCTGTTGGCGTTTGTGAAGAGTTTAAGCAATTTAACCATAATTCAATAAAATCTACAATGTAGAGAAAAATAACACTGCACAACTTCGTATTTCTGCTTATGAAAACTACATTTTGTCATTTATACAAGTTCTTTTACTGGGCTTTTTACCACAGTAACTACAATAGAGGTTCTACTTGTATACTGCAAACTTCACCTCTGTTTTAACTCCAAGGCAAACAGGACTCAGTTATCCGAGGATTTGGGCTCAACTGCCTAAGCATATCATGAAACAACTACCTCACTATTACTGGCATGTTATAAATTATTCCAACTATTAGTCTAACCTAACAAGGCTAATTTTTCAGGAGGAAAACATCACTCTTAATACAGATCCCACTACAATACAAACGCAATCTCAACAAGATCTTTTAGCACTTCTATAATATTACTGACAAATTATTTTTCCTTTCAGAATTCCTAGTGTACAATGACTTACATATGTGCCCAAAGAATGCCTTCTGAAAGACTTACTTAAATTGGATGCTCAAGGCATACACATGCACACATCATATAAATTAACGAAATACCTCGTGTAGATCTCTCTACTCTCACACTGTGATTTTGTTTCCAACCTAGTAAGGATTCCACTGACTGCTAAGAAAACCTACACTGACTACATGATAAAAAGCCAATTTTGTAGAAGTCTACATTTAAAGAGCTGAATGTTCCTGCTTATTAACCCATAAGTTGATAAGGCACAAAGAAAAATAATGATTATATAATCAAAAGTAGCTGATGATAGAAGATCAGCAGCTGATGTGATACTCCTACAAATAAATCAAATACTGACACAAGGCCATAAGTATAGACAAAAACATTTACAGAGATAAAATGCCTGTTTGTCTCTTTCACACTAACCTTTTAAGCATAGTGCACACTTCCTTTAAAATCTCTTAAGTGAGCCCAGCCTAGCTTTTCCAAAGTCTATTTATAAACGAAATATAAATTTCAAGATATTCAGAGAAATAAACACATACAGGTTTATTTATGGCATCCTTCAACAGTTTTGCAGTTTCTTCCCACTCATTTTGTTTGTTCTCTTCACAGACATTCAGTGGAGACCTTCCCTGTTGATCAGTAATGTGCTACAAACAAACAGAAACACTGACAATGCATTGTTTTGACTGGAATTAGGCAAACATGTCACATTTGAGATAACTGATAAATAATGGAAAAAAGTAGAGGCAATGAAAAATATTTAACCATTTTTGTCAGTCACTCAATAGACCATTGTGTTTACACATTGTAGCATGGACACAAAGTGTCACATGCACAAACTAGAAACATGTTAAATTGCCATTTCTGTACACAAACAGAACTTACTCTGTCAATTTCTGGATGATTCAGGAGAATTTGTACTATTTCAGCATGCCCACCTCCAGCAGCAAAATGTAGAGGAGAACTAAGCTGGCCGTTCAAAAGATTTGGATTGCACTTTCCTTTCTCCAATAGCATCCGAGTAGCTTCAACTTTTCCATACCTACAGGCAGATTAAAAATTTAGCAGACACAGCAAATGTAAACTAAAATCTTTTCCAGATACTTCTAAATAAGAAAAAGTACACTGCCTTGCTCAAGAGCTTTTAGCTTTCCAAAGACAGCGAACATTTAGAGGCCAAACACAGTGAATGTTAGTAAGTTTGTTTAACTTCTACATGTATTTGGTACTGTCTAGCAACCATTTACTAGATTTATTAGAGATAGACCCAACTCTGCTTTACACTATTTGGGTAGCTGTAGCAATTCAGTCATGGCAAAACAGGCTCAGTCTTGCCTGCAAAGTCTGTGTAAGAATCTGCATAAAGCTTCTGAATGTTATGCAGAAGGTTCCTAAGACTCATGCTGCTAACTGGGAAACCTAGCATTAAATGTGTATGTAAACTTTCTGAGAAACACTAAAAATCAAATAAGTCATTTTTGTTTGTTTTGGTGTTTTTTTTTTTTTTTTTTTTTTTTTTTAAACAGCCAAGCTTGATTTTTATGTTCAGGTTATCAGACACTGCTATAAATACAGAAGACTACCTTCTGCTTAAAGATGAAACAGAAGTATTTTTGCAAGGTCTGACAAAAGCTGTGAAAAGAATCACAGATTTAAATCATCACAGCATCATAGAATCAGTCAAGTTGGTTTCTGGAGATCATGGAGTTCAGCATTGTGTTCAAAGCATGACTCTCACCAACACTCACTCAGCTCAGCTATTGCTGCGTTACAGAACTGCTCACAGCCTTTAACCAATAAAGACTGCAAGAGTTGCTACAGTAAACTAGACCCAGTGTCTCCAACAGCAAGTAGAACAGGTACTTCAGGACAGATGTAGGGACAGATATAAGAGGCAATAAATAAGTGTGTGATGATACGGTAACTATACTTGGTCTTCTCTGAAACCACTCAGATAGCAATTATCTCAAAACCTCAAGCAGTATTTCTCTTCAGAAAGTAATATACAATAATATATATTAAGAGACAAAGTATAGAAAATCTAAATTTTATTTCTCATTTTTGACCCTGTATGATGAATGACATAAAATACTGCAAAAGAGTCATGACAGCAAGAAAGCAGCAAGAAAGCATTTGATTGGAAAAACTATACTGGGTTGACTTACCAGCATGCATAATGGATTGGTGCCCAGTGGTCACTGTCTAACTGATTAACAGAAAACTTTTTATCCAGAAGGTGGCTTAGTAAATCAGAGTCGCCTTCACAAGCACTGCGGTGAAGAGGGAAATCGTCTACCCACTGGTGTTCTCTATGAATTAAAAGGAAAAGCAGGAGGGAAACACAGTTGAGAAACATTTAGATAGTTGAGAACATCAGTTTTTTTAAATGACTAACTCAGGACTAACTGTAGAGCCATATGAATAATAAAGATGAAGCTTATACAGCTAAAATGCGTCAGTATTTGTACAACTAGCATTTCAGTCATGCAGTACCCAAGCCACAACTTTATTCATTATGCTAAGAAATGCTACTCTAACATTTGTAATTTAAATCTTTCTTGATCTATCCTTTAATTCGTGTACTTAGAGACTTCAAATAGATTTTCTTTTATTTAAATATGCAGTTGTACAGTAAAGCCCTAGAGTAAAGAGTCTCATGCTGACCAAGTCTGCTAAGTACTACTGTAATATAACAAAACTAAAGTATATATTAACAAAAAAGAAATGTAATACTTGTCCTCTGTGACACTGCTCATGCTGCGTTGCCACTTTTCTCTTTTAGGAATCTGAATTTTTGAATAGTCTGGGGCTCCAAGGCCAAAGTAGGGATTTATTACCACTTTGTCAACCTGTGAAGACATAATTTAAATAAAACTGGAAAAAAAAAAAAAAAAAAATCTTACTGAGATTTGGCCAAACAATCCCCATCCAGCCCAAGTATTATCTTGGTGCCCAAGTTATGACTATAATATTTTATAAGTAAAGAGATTAATGTTGAAGTGTGAGGATTTGAAAATCTGTTTGGCAGTAAGCGTGCAATAAAGAAATCTGATTATATTAAAACAAAGCATGCTCAGAAAAAATGAGCAAATAAAATACGAAACAGAAAAGCATGTATGTTCCACAAATACAAAATGAAAACATAATTCTTACCCTGTTGGTATACTGAAGGTCAGATCCAAACAGAGGATTATAGATACACATATCTGCTTTCTCTAATGCCAGCATTTTACTCTTTATTTCCAGAGCAGTATAACCCATGTGTAACGAGCTCTCTGTTTGACCAGGTTCTATAGCATAAGCAGGGTTTATTACATTTGTTTTAATTCTCTCAAGAGGAGATGGTCTGAATAAAGCTGGGATGGAATGAGACTGGGTATGCCGTTCATCCAACCACCTGCAGAAGAAATTTGGCAAGTTAACTCATTTCCTGATAGAAAAGGGCTATTCTGATCATGCCTGTCCATTTCTTTGATTAATAGTTGTGTGTTTAGTAACAGCAAATTAATTTTTTAAATTAAAATATAATTATAATGTGCATAAATAATTTTATAACACTAAATTAAGCCCCATAAATGATATTTTTTTTTAGCAAATGTGTTTGCTCAAACGCATTTCCTGCAGATGCAAAGTCTCAAAGAAAAGGAAATTAAAATATATGACAGAAATAACAATGGTTATAACCAAAACACTTGACCACACCAAAATGTTGCTGTTTCACTTCATTTACTTTCAGTTTATCAGTATTACTACTCTCAAGACACAAATTCTGCAACTTAAAGCCTTTTACGTGTGACCTTAAGTTTCAGTATCTGTACAGACTTAGTAAGACTTCTGACTTTGAGAGAAAGCAGACGGTCCCTCAAGAGCTTGCAAACAGCCAATTCTCTTTCACAAAGGCTACCACCTGTCCTTTTACATAGCCGCACTGAAGATTACTCTGTTTGAAGTGGACTACTACTGACAACAGAGGAGGGTTTTAGGCCTCTCTCAAAACTTCAAATAAAAACATCCTTTGCTAGAATACAATTAATTCTGCTTAGTGCTTTATCTTGGAAAGGTAGAATAAAGAAGCACATGCTTTGGAAAAAAAAATCCACTGATATACTGTTTGGAGCTTGCCTGTTCCAGAGTCACATCTAAGAATGTGATTCCCAGTGTAGAGCATATGCTTAGGCCTGGATTAAGTCCCAGACTGAATCTATTGTATGTTTCACAAGCTGTGCTCCCTTCACTTACTCATCGCCCTGCTGTGAAGGACATTAAAACTGTGGCCATCGTGCTCTGAACACCCTCTTGTCTGTCTGAGGGTATTTTCAAGGAATTTCTCTATGAAATCTTTTACAAGCATTGTTTCTGGCTACCTACTTAGAGAACAATCAATATAAACTCTTTCCTATTATACTTCCAAGGTTTCGCTCACATCTGTAAGGCTGGTGACATATGCTAAGCAGAGCTCAGAATATGAAGGCATTCATTATGTAGCAAACAAATAGAAAATCTTGCATGATGGCATACATGAAAATACAGAAATTGCCTACACGCAGAACCTTTTTAGGCAGTTGCCTGTAACTTAATATTTTTGCATTAGCCAAGATTTTTGCCTAACTTTATTTATGTGTGGCAGAAAAACATGCTCATAAACATGGTGCTTTCCTATTCCTGAAAGTAAAGGTCTCATTCACTTCAACAGATACTCCTGCAAAGAAATTAGTACATAATTATGCCTGGTATTCCTATGTAAAGGCTACATAAAGAGGCCCAAACCCTTTTAATATGTTAAATTTTCTAATTGCTCTAAATCTGGCTACACAACTAATTGCCATTCTTAAAGTCAATTCCCTGTTGCAAATAAACTTGTACAGCTCAGAAAGCTGCACTTCAGGGTTTGTAAAGGGAAATCTAAGTGGTATAAAATTCTAGTTCTACATTCTTGCAAATACTCTTATTGATAACATTTGTGGAAATTATAGAAGATTTGATATTATTATATGATTATATTATTATATGATTTCGTAAAACATTAATTAAAACCTTAACATTATCAAGGATTTCCAGTAAATCACTGGATTAAGAAGACTATTTCTCAGTTCACAAAAACATTTTTTAAAAGATTTAGAAATTTGTTGTCATGCTTCTCATAACCATGAAGTAACATAGTATCATTTTCTTCTTAATCAGAAAAATGATGTAAAAATTATTTGCTATATCCTTAAATTTCCTTGTTTATCTTCTATGTCTCTGTATTTGCATTCATGGTATTTCTTACTTATCCAAGGCAATTAACATTCTTGCAGTAAGCGTTGCAAAATGTGTGCTGGATTCACTGCAGACTCTCATGATGTCTTGTAAACAGTAGAACACAGGGCATCCTGGACTGTATGTGTATTTTGTATTATCTAAAAAGGAAACACACTTTGAAGATGTATTGAAGAAAATAATGTTATTTTCCCTCCTGTGTCTTTTGTAGTTACATATTCCCAACCTACTGGCAGCAGTTCAATTTTTTCCCCATACAACTGACAGAAATTAGAGTCCTCACATAGCTATTCATATCCCAATTGGGTAACCTTAAAAACCTTGAAGTGTCCAGTTACTATTTCATCACTGTTATCAGCTTCATCTGAGGAATTAATATGAAATGCATGCTGTTACCAGAAAAAGAAAGAATAGGACTTCAGAACTGAAGAGATCATTGCTATTGGTAACTCTACAATGGTATTTATTTTTTTGATAGTTTTTATCATTAGGGTCTTATCACAAAAGCAAAAAGAAGTTTCAGCAAAAGCACACAGGCATTTGTTTCAGGCTTGTTTTCAAATACTTTCCTGACAAGCAGTACACTTTGCTTCTAAAAACATCATTCATCATTCCTTGTTCAAACAAAACTGTTTACAGAATTCGCTAAGCATTCTTCTCTGAGTAAACAACTCTGAACTGAATAGTCTGGATGTCTGAAATAGAATTATGTTCAGTGAATTTTATAGGAGTTGATTATATTTCAAAATGTATGCATTCAGTGAACAAACAGCTTAAATCAAAAGTGTGCTATGGTTATGGAAACAAATGCAGTACATTTTCTGAGGATTTTAAGTAACATTTTCAGGTTTTAAAGTATACAGATTTCTACCTAACTCTAACTTTTTGATGTTTAAATAAAAAAGACATACAGCACATTTACAAAAATCCTGAAATCTTCAACTGAACTTCTGTTAAAATGAATGCAGCATCAGAAATTATGCTTAGTGTTACCTTTCACAACAGTAGGAACGATGTAAAGTGATGCCTCCTGGCCTGCTTTCTCTCCATCCAGAGGGAATGTCTTCATTAGCACTACACGCTTCCCTAGCACATTACATTAAAATGAAAATATTAACCAACATAAATAAATACATAAAAACAGTCTAGAGACAGTTAACTGGATGCCTATCAGACCAATCCTTCCTAATTTCTAGGAAGAAAAAGGGCATATTACTAGCTAAAATCTAAATCAAGCCAAGAACATCAAAATAAATACACAAAATAAAGAACACCAATACGTACACAGTCATTAGCCTGAAAAATGACAGCACTGTACACCTTTTTTCACAATAACTTTTCCCTGCTCCTGATTATTCAGGTTGCTCTCATGTCTCAAAACCACCAATTTTTAAGTTAAAGAAGATTCCTTCTGAAATGGGAAAGCACAGCTGCACGCCGTATTTCATGTTAGGATGATCCATGTAGTGGTAGGACAGTATTTTCCATGCTGTCCTCCCATCTACCCTTACAGAATCTAGCATTTTGTTTGCTTTTCTGACCACAGCTGCATATTTTAGCAGGGGCTACACTAAACGGTGCATATTAATGCCTCCGTCCTGTGTGAGTCAGTTCAAAACTGTGGTATGAAACAGTCTTGCTTTTGTTAGGAAGCATGTATTAATGCTATTAAGTTATGTTTCCTGCCTCACTAATTTTGTTAGGTCCGGTTACTACCATCTGCAGCATTTTACTATGCAACCACCTATTCCTTTTCCAAGCACTGTACTGTCTTGTTTGGCCTGACAACCTTCCCAGTGTAACCTTGCTTACAAAACAAAGAGGAGATACACAAGAAACAAAGTGCTTTAGTCAGTACAGTTTATACCAGTTTGGAAATGAAATAAGCTGAGTAAACCAATTTTTGTCAGCACAAATACGAGGTCACTTGCTGGACCAGCTACATCATAGTAATGAAAAAAAAAAAAACAACCAGCATACTCATCAAGTTATGTATGTAACCAATGCAGTTATGCCATATGTACATTCACATAGATACTTTTAACAATGCTGGCATTGAACAGACTTTGTAAATAATCAATTCGCTATTTGGAATTTTAGCTGAAATTAAGGTTAGAAAAGCTATTTCAATCTGGTTTGCCAGAAATTGAATTCTCAATTTGAGATTAAAAAGCAGTATGGACAGGAAAATATTCATTTGAGAATATTTTAGTAAGCATTTTACAGAGATGGAAAGTAAAGAGAAACTATGGCTAATTAAAAGCTGTGTGGCTTGGGTGTTTTTTTATGAACTCAAAGCAGACCTTCTCTTTCAAACTAACATCATGCTCTCTGACAATCTCCCCACACCCTGTTTAAGTTTTAAACTATTTTACAGAGCTGTTGACAGCAAATCAGAATAAAATATTTTTACCTTTAATACCCTGATTGGCTGGTGAAATTGGTTTGGTGGCTTCCAGGACATAATCCAAGATGCTCTGGGTTATTTCAGTGCCGCCCTGCAGCTTAGTTTCCAATAAAACTTTCTTTCTCTTTTTTTTTTGACCTTCAATGGGAACCTCGAGCAACAAAATCTTTCAAACAATAATAAAACAAAAGGACAACTTAGACAAGTACAGAACAACTCCATGCCTATGCGTGTATTTATCATACCACTATAAAAGCAGTAATATAACTCAGGAAGTACTGAATCTGGAGCAGCAGGAGGGCAAAGTCAGAACAACCTCCTTAACACTAAGGCTAAAGACAAAAAGACAAGGCTGCACCCTTGCACTGAGCAGCCCACAGGGCAAAAGGCCCTGAAATGAAATAAAACATCAAAATTACAAACTGTAAAGTGTTCAAATATTCTAATGATAGGGCAACACATAGCAGATATATGACATGTATGTCATATCCTATTGTCAGATTTTCTTTTAAGCTGTATTATTATACACTTATTATTACATATTATTTTTAAAACGTCATTGAACAAAAATATTAAATAATGTTACTTCATAGGATTTAGCTCGATATTCCCGAGAATTCAGGCTTGCAGTATTTTTTGGACGAATCACTGCAACGTATGCATTCCCGATGGTTTCTGGATTTCCCATCTCTTCTTTTTTTTTTTTTTTTTTTTAGTTGTTATTTTATCCCTAGAAATAATGAATGGATAGGATGATTCAGTTAAAAATAAAAACAAAAATAAATCCAACAACATGCTAAATCCTGAACACAGTAATTATGCGTACTGATTCTTTGTGTTTCTCATTAATTGTTCTTTAACTGGAAAAACACCAATGGTTTTGGTAGTTCTGCCTCCTGTTCATTAAGCAATAACATGGACATGAGTAAAAGAATGGGGAACATCATACAGATTTAATATGAAAAATCTTCTTGTCTAAATTTCTTTTACAGTAAAACTGTTTTTTTCAGTTTGTAAATATCTTCCCATTTTACAAGGCAGACGAAAAGCTGAAGAAATTCAACTATACGAACCTAAAAAATAAAACCACTGTAAAGTTACAAGCATATCAATCAGAAATGGTGCTATTAGAAAGTACTGCATTTTTATCAGTTCAAGAACAACCCTGATTTTTCTTTTTTCCCCTCCCAATAAGTAGTCTTGCCTACAACCCAAGTAACAGAACAGATAAAAATAAGCTATAATACGGACTTATTTTTTCTTTACTTCGGCAGAATTGTAAACTCGGCACAATTCATTCAAACAGCTTCTAGAAGGAATAAGTTGCCAGCTTGATTTCACAGAATATTTGGTAACTCCCTTTCATTCACATGCTGTTTGCAGATTAATCCACTCACGAAGATTTGTAATTGTACCGTTTTACATTCTTCACCTTTTTAGGAGGAACAGAGGTCTTCAGATTTCCATGCTTTTACTCCAGTATTTTTGTCGGGACCAGACTACCTGAAAATATATTTAAAAAAAATTAAATAAAAGCACCTTCAGCTAACACAACTGCATTACTTAGGTGACGTAATGACAGCACTTACAAAGTATATCAGAATGAAAATATCTAAATATGAATTGGAATTATAGCATCCTCTAGTAACGTCAAATAAGCAATACAGTAACTTGTGAGATGTAAAAGAAGAAGAAAGACCCATCCTTTAGAAGCACGATACGTGCCCCAGGATTCTCAGGGTTTAGGGCAGGACCAGGGGCAGGCGAAGCAGCGCGGGGTGAATTCTGAAAGGCTCTGCGCTCTGCTCAGAGGGAGGACGGCGACTCCAGGAAACAAATGGCTCTGAGAGCTGCCACGTGACTTCAGAAAACAAAAAGGGAGGACGAAAAGGGTGGGGTTGCGAGGATGCGACAATAAAATTGACCACTTTCAGAATGCGCCGCCAGTGATCCCAACCGGACCGTGAGGCGGTAAGGGGTACCGCTGTCGGCAGGCAGGCAGGCGCAGCTCAGAGGAACGCGTTTCAACCCGCTCCCCGGGAACTGAAGGCCCTTCATCGCACCCGGCCCGGGCTCCGGGCTTCACTTTCGTCTCTCAAAGGAAGAGGCCGACGCGCGCCCGCAGGTGGCTGCGGCTGAGCCGCGAGCAGCTGAGCCAGCGCTACTTCCTTTCCAACACGGAGCAGTGTGATGCGCTCGCTGTAGCTTCAGCTCGTATCTACTGCTGCCTCCACCTCCCAGATTCTAACGCCCATCTGTTCCAGGCTCCAGACCAGCGCCGAAACGTGCCGGAGCCTCCCTCAGCCACCCCCGGGTCCGGACACCGCGAGGACCTCGCCGTCCTCAGCGGGGCGGGACGCAGAAGAGGCCCCGCGCCGGCCGCCTTACTGCCAGAACCCGCCCCGCCCCCTCAGTCCCGACCCCTTTTCGTTCCCTTGCCTTCCTCGGCGCCGCTGACCGCCGCCTCATCGTCCCGCCGCAGCCGGCGCCCACAGGCCCCGCGCCGGATAGCCCGCTCCGCCCCGGCTCCGCCCCGCGCCCTCCCCCGGCTCGGCGATTCGCTTCCCGTCGGAGCCCCGCGGGCCGCGGCCGCCGATGAGTTTCCGGGTCGGCGGCCTGAACTTCTGCCGCCGCTGCCGATCGCTAACCGCGGTCGGAGAGAGGGAGGAGAGGAGCGGGCCGGGGCCGTGAGGCGCCGCCGCCGCCTTGCGGGCGGGTGCTGAGGGGAAGCGCCGCGCGGGGCCGGGCATCGCCGCCCGCGGCTGTCAGCGCCGCCGCGAACAAAGGGGCGGCCGCAGCCGCAGCGGTCCGCCAGCGCGTAGCGAGGTGCGCCGCCGGCTGTCAGCCCCGCCACCCGGCCCAGCCGAGAGAGCGCTCCAGAGACTGCCGAGCGTGGGGCAGAGCGGGGAAAGAGACACAGAGAGAGAGAGAGAGAGAGGAGCGTCCGCCGAGCGGATGGAGGCGCGGCGTGCCGAGCACCGAGGCGCTGGGAAGGGCCGGGGAGAGCCCCTGTGAACAGCGGTGAGTACCCCGCCGTTCTGCCGCCGTCCCGGCGCCGCCCGGGGGCAGCGCGGGGCGGGCGGGGACGGGACGGCCGCGGGCACAGCTGCGAGACCGCGCGCGTCGGGGCGGCGGCGCTCCGCATCCCGGGCGGGGCGGGGCCGGGGTCTCCGGCGCTCCGCGGCGTCCTCGGCGCGTTGAGAACGAGAGGCTGCGCCGGCAGCTCCGGGCCGGGGCTGAGAGGAAGCGCCGTGGCGGAGGGGCGGCGGAAGCCCCCCGGGGCGCGGGCGCCCGGCAGAGCTGCGGGCGAGGGGCCGCGCTGCGGGGCTCCCCCGGAAAGTTGGGCCGCTTCGGTCGGGCCTCCCGCCGGGCTCTCCGTACGGAAGGAAGAGCGTCGGGAGCGGCAGCGGGCGGTGAGTCCCGGCTGGATGGCTCCGTGCCGCGCTCGGCGCTGCGGTCGTTACGCGGCCTTTCCGGAACGAAGGCGAACACGCACCGTCTCACGGTCTCGTTTTTGTTTTTCCCGAGAAAGGCATTGAGCCCTGATAGGGTCAGCGTAGCTCGTGTATGTCGGTAGCGGGATCGCGCGCTCAGGCGCGTCGGAGTGCGCACTAGAAATCCAGTAGCTTCTGAAAACTCAGCGCAGCACCAGCTGTCCTTTTTTCGGAGAGCAAACACCGTGCGAGGTCCCGAAACAGCACCGACTCCCCAGAAAGTGCTCTGCAGAGTGAAGTGTTCTCCTGCGACCTGTATTTTGCTTATGGCCTCTCCTTCCTTACCGAAACGTGGTGCTTTGGTTGTAGGCAAGCATCAGGTGTACTGATACTGATGTACTGAAATTCAGATACGCTTTTTAAAAAGAGGGGCTGCTTTGGAGAAACTTATTTGGCTGCAGAGCTTAGCGATGAGGAGAGACTGAAAGGGAAGAGTCTTGCACATCTGGGGGTTTTATCTGTGCTTCTCCATATCTTTGAGTGTGAAACATGGTCCATTCTCTTTTGGATGCAGGGGAAAGTAGGAAATACTCTTCTTCACCCAAAAGAAAGAGACTCTGTTCTTAAAGAAAGTGAGATCATTTTTCAGTTCCTAACATTTGTCTTATTTCCATGACGTGTATGCAGAAGTGGTGGCATTTACAGCCAGATGTCTTTTTAGTTTTTTTTTTGTGGTTGTGGAATGCATAATTGGCATGAAGAGTTCCAAAACTTTCAGTAATTCTGAACTCAAGCAAGTTCCGTGTGTAACAAACCTTTGTTTAGTCTTAAAAGAATAAAATATTTTAGTAATGTATTATGCCTGAATAGAAGTACTACTGGAAACATACTGGCATAAATAAGCCGACTGATGTTGCTGATGCCCTTTCTTTATATGTGCACTGAAGTGCTATTATGAATGGAAATTAATTTAAAAACAACAACAACAAAAAACAGCAGAGGCACTATACATATGTAGCATCAGTAGCCAAAAGGGGGATGGGGGAAAGCAAGATGTAAGTTTTACAGAGCCCTTTTTCTGTTTTTCCCCTGGTGTGCCACACACATCTAGATAGGGTAAGTACACACATCAGTATCTGCTGAGGCTTTTTGGAGGAACTTGGAGCTTCTTAGGCACGTATGCTGTGTGCCATTTTACATGTATCTGCTTGTTAGAGCTTTGTGTCAGGATTGACACCTCTGCTGTGATTGATTAGCACAGAATTGGCTTTTTGTTTCAGTAATAGAGCTTTGTTAGTTTTTGGTGTGGCCATTTGCAATGATTTTTATTTTTTTCCCCCAATTATTTTCTTTGTTCTGTGATGGATTTTTTCATGTTTTTGCTTTGCTGCTTAGATATCGTACCATCTTCATTACCTGAATGATTAATGAACTTCCCCCTCAAGTCTGAATTCTTGAAGTTGCTTTCTGGTGTTGTCCTTGTTGGAACTTTGTTACCTCTGATGAGGTGACTCATGATAGTAAGCAGAAAGTTGGAAAGCTGGAGCTTCCAAATACGCGTGCTGGGCAAGTTGTGTGTCTGCTCACACTGCTGCATTTTGCAGAACTGATGTTCATACATAGTAAAAAGGGATCTTTGGTCATACCACGTTAAGAGTTGAAGCCCAAGGAGTCTACGTAGTATTTAAAAACTACTTCTTCAGAACCTCTAAGCATCTTCCAGATTTGAGATGGAACTAGTGAAAACAATCTACCATTTTCCTCAGAGGAATATTAGTTTGACTGGCTGGTGTCAATGAAATAGTGTGCTTTGCATCACAGCCTGTGTTAATTTGCTTTTTATATGCATTTGTGAGTATATTTATGTCTTGCCTCAAAAAGTAGTCTGAGTGGAATGCTGTAACTGTCAGTATAGTGATAGTTCATTATCTTCAGTTAATTAGTCCAGAAATCACGGTGGAGAAAAATAGGTAATAGTCTGTTGTTCCTGCAGATTACCATTCACGCCCTGTTAACAATACTGCTGCTTTGCTTTTACTCTCATGTACCTTCAGTTGTACTATGAGAAGAAAGAAGTGCAATGTAGCGGGCACCAGGTTTTCTGCTGCTGTCTGGAGGTGATTTGAGGGAGCCCTTTGTGATTCCGCACTCTCTGCCAGTGTTCTTGTTTTTAGTAATTGAAAGTAATTTTCTGAACTTGCAAACGTGTCATGCATGTGAATTTGAAATTTTAAACTATTTATATCCTTTTGCAAACAAGAGAATTGCCATAAATTTTTATTATGACAAACACTTCTTTGGGCTTAAAGCACATTTTTTAGTACTCATATTGTCCTTGAATTTTCTTTAACATATCTTGCTGAAGTTGCTCAGGGGAGACTTTCATTTTTACTTGTAATTTATATTTTAAAGCACATTAGTGAATGTTGAAGGACAGTTGCAGTAAAAATACAGGACCATGTTGTAAACGGGTGGCTGCAGTGCAACGTGAGGGCTAAGTGCTGACTTGGGATGGCTTTCCGGAGCAGCTGCACAGCAGTGCTGTGCCACTTTCCTCAGGAGCTTTTCTGATCTGCCCTTTCCTGGTGAGGAAGACAAGGGATTTTGTTCCAAACTGGCGGGAATTCTCCAAGAGTAAGTTTAAGTATTCAGTACTTATATGCAACCTTCTCTACTGGGGGGGGGAAAAAAATCCCTATATTTAATTTCTTGGGGATTTTCCCTTCTTCAGTAAGAGCAAAAAATAGATTTTCAATTTTGATGTGTACTTTGTGAAAATAACACTCTAAAAACATACAAGTAAATGAACCAAATAGACTCCTGGAAGATGTACAGTCACCAAAAATTCTGTGGAGTAAAGACTCAAATGGTAGCCAAATGGTGTATATTCATTTCAGAGGAGTATATTTAAGCTGCTGAAAACCACTTAGTCTTTGCTTTATAACAAGGGCTGCATCAGAAGTACAGTCTGGGCAGTTCTGACTCACTGTGGTGTTTTGTGTAAGTCCTGAGTTTGCTGGAACAATCTGAAATAGTACATTTGTATTCACTGCTGGTGGTTAAGTGCAA